TAATTAACTAGTTTTCAGATGTATTGATTCGATGCTTCATTTGTTAAATTATCATTTTGCAACTCTTCATGTACGATTTATATTGTAATCGTTATTGAAGTATTTTATGTATTGATCACGTGTCAGGTGTATGTTGAATGTAACAGTCTGAACTTCTATATATACACTTTATATTTATCTTATATATTTATACATACTCATATTTATTCTTTAGGGGCAGCGTCTTATGTTCCCGTTCTATTAAATGTTTAGCTAATATAACGACATCGATGGGTGGCTGCCTCATTACACATTTTGATTTAACTATATATATTAAATTGTTTTTCGTCATTAAATAAAATGACAATTTCCATCCAATCCGGCGTTTGATTTCTTTGTTTGGTTTTGTACTTACCTCCTGCGACATAAAAATAATGAAGCATACGTTACGTGTTACAAACAGTGGTAGGCCAATTTTTAAGCAAGTTTTTCTTACTGTAAATTCGGATTTGAATAGTGTTCATATGGTTTCCTAGTGTAGACTTTTCCATGTGTTCGGCTATTACACTACATGTTCTGTCACAAAATGTACTCCTATTTTAATGAACAGAACCTGGACTTTTACAAACGGAGTCAAGGAGACTAAATTTGATCAAACCTAACTTCCATTTGGAGAACCTCAGGGTTCACTCGCAATGTGGGAGTACTATGGACTCGGCACTAGATATGACTAATCACGTAGACAAGTCTTCAATCCGGGTGCGTACCTTTGGTCCGAAGGGTCTGTGGTCCGAAAGCCCATTGGTCCGAAGGCCCGTTGGTCCGAAGGGTCTTTGGTCCGAAGGCCCGTTGGTCCGAAGGGGTTTGGTCCGAAGTTTCATTGGTCCGAAGGCCCGTTGGCCCGAATTAGTGACCTTTTTTCAGGAATGCAGGTTACGGCAATAAAACAATTCTTTACAATTAAGCAAGTTTACTTTTCATATTTTCCCTAACAACATATATAAGGCCAAGTTAAAAAAAAAATTACTAGTTTCTCACGCATCCATTTTCGCTGCCTCATCATTTAAAAATATATATATATTTCCTTTCCTTTGCGAAATGTACGAAAATCTGGCTAACTCACATCATAAAAATTCCTCTCTTGATCGTGGATAGGGAGATGTTTCCAGTGAGAATTTCAGTTGAACTATTACCAGTAGTATTAGGAAATAAAACTCAATGTACTATGATACAAATCATATCTAGTGCTTATTTGCTTTTAATGTGCAATGGCGGCACTACAGGGGGGGGCACAGGGGTGGGGAAAATTCCCCCTAGAAAATTTGTATCCCCACCAGTTTCCCCCTGCCAGAAGTGTAGAAAAAAACACAATTCGTCGGGGAGAAAAAATATATTTATGCATTTTCTACATATTAGTAGACTATTTAGAATCGATTGAATATCCCTCTGAAACCCCTAAATTGTCACATTTTCCGGGGGATCCGCCTCATGGACCACTTTCGAAACATTTTAATTGACACCCGACCAGGCTCACTTTGCTCTCGTCGGGGAACTTCATCCCCCCCCCCAGATGCTTTCGCCTCCACTGTCAATGTGTCTACTTTGTAAAAGTGAGAAAGTAGTAACTGTTTCCCATCGGCCATAAGTAAATAAATCTGTTAAGATTTTCCAACCACTGGATGGAAGTTACTTGAATTCCCCTATTGTTATTAAAACTTTTCTGTCTCCTGCTTAAACAGGAAGTTATACTTACGCTCCATTCGCTGGGAATCTTTTCAATTTCAAATAATTTGTTAAAAATATACATAAACTTAGCTGACAAGTCATGCTAGCAATAATTGTATATTGTTAGCCAATAATAGACCTACATGGCGGTCCCGAACATGTGTTTTCTTCAAATATATTTTTGTCTATATTTGAATTAATTACTTCGGACCAACGGACCTTCGGACCAAAGGCTCTTCGGACCAACGGACCTTTGGACCAAAGGCCCTTCGGCTTAGGGCCACGCCCACTCGCTTCTACTTTGGACGGCCTATTTCATTTTTCTGTCTAAGTCCCTGCCTGACATAGAATATCATACAAAATACTACCTACAACATACAAGTCCCTTCACAGCAAACTTTATAATCGATCTCACCAATCCATACACACCAAAACATAAGAAAGGAAAAGGAAAGAAAAGATAAGGAAACATAAGAAAGAAAAATAAAGAAATAAATGATAAGAAAATATAAGAACGGAAAATGGGAAGGAAAGATAAGGATATATAAGAAAGGAAAAGGAAAGAAATTATAAGCAAATATAAGAAGGAAAAGGAAAGAAATGATAATCAGACATAAGAAAGAAAAGGGAAGAAAGGATAAGGAAACATAAGAAAGGAAAAAGAAAGAAAAATAAGGAAAACTAAGAATGAAAAGGAAAGAAAATATAAGGAAAAATTAAAAAAAAAGGAGAGAAAACATAATGGTAAAATCAGAATGAAAAATGAAGGCAAGTTGATGGAACATAAGAAAAGAAAATCGGAATTGGCAAAAACTAGCAAGGGCTGGGAGGAAAGAATATAAACGACAAGCAAGACACATAAGATCATTTAAACAGTGAAATAGTTGAAGAGATAAGAAATCTAAAATAAAATGGAAAAGAAAAACGAAATGGAATGAGGAGGTAATTGAGATAAAAACTTGGTTGATTTTTTTTTTATAATTAAACATTATTATTATAAAAATAATTAAATAAATGCATAATTATTAAATAAATAAATAAATATATCTAAATAATTTTATTATAAAAACTGTTGTTATCATCTTTTCTTTAATTTTGATCCAGATTTGCTTTTAATGTAAAGCGCATAGAGGTTTCCAGCATTCTGCGCTATTTAAGAATAAATTTATTACTATTATTATTAATTAAAAGTGTGACAATACGTGGTCTTTATAACAACGAGCATGACTAACTCTCCCCAATCTTTGGTCATGTCCAAAAATCTACAACACATTTGCCTATTCGACTGGTCGTTCTTCGTTAAACCGCGCCCACCTGGGCAGTGGTAAAATCTACTTAACGAAGACAACCAGTCGAATAGAAAACTTTTAAATACTCGAAAAAACAAAATGGCTGCCTAGTTACCGCGATACACGCTGCGTATTACAAGGCTGCTTCGGATTGTGGCAGTATCGGTTTTTCGTAAAAATAAATGGTTTCATCCAGTGTTTGAATTCTATTTGCCTACAATTATTTTTTGACTTCAATGTGGGTAAATATTATGATTTTTATTTTCTGAAATTTAATATAAATTATATTAACGCAAATGTTGTTGCTAAACTGACCAATCGGATTATTTGTTTTGGTCAGGTGATTGACGCATTCTAGTTACATTAATTTTCATTGTCAACGAAGTCTATTTTACAAACCAGTCGAATGAAAATAATACTTAAAACGAAAATTCGTACTCAACGAAATGAACCAGTCGAATAAGCCCATCGAATACGTTCGTGCAAGATTATGCACAATCATATACATAAATTTTCCCTTTCCCATATCACACCTATTAAACTCCAATGGTTCGCACCCACATTCAGTACAAGTACAACATGCCAGATGGCTTCCAGGTTTTACCATACGTCTCTTAACCAACTATTTTGCCTATCCCATCTTTTCCTACTTCCGTGCACCATGATCTTTTATGCAATGTCATACACCGCACTCTAGTTCCGTTGCCTCTCGGTGACCTGAAATATTGTAATAAAGCCTGTCCTTCAGCTTATGATTGGAGTACGCTCTCACTTCTAACATAGCAAAAATGCTTCTTCGAATGGGCTTTCTAGAGGCTAATACTGCCCTATCTTTTTCAGATAAAAACGAATGTTTGGAAAACTATGGAGGTTGTGACCGAACTACTGAACGTTGTGTCAACACTGACGGTAGTTTCTATTGCGAATGTTTCACAGGGTACGCTAGGAACCTGGGTACCGGAATTTGTGAACGTAAGTGTATGTAAACGTAGTTTTTTAGGAAACTGGAGCATTCATATTACCATAATAATCTTTTCTTCAATTATATACGTGTAATTTTACTAAATAAGCTAAATTTGTGACTGACTACGTTCTGTCTTAATTTGCTACTTTCTAGCTATTTGCACCCCACCTTGCGTCAATGGAAGATGTCTTGCGCCTGATTTCTGTTCGTGTCCAGCAAATTATACTGATAGTGATTGTAGCGACTGTAAGCAATAATGTGTATATTTTTACTAGGCAAATAAATCAAGCATATGGTTTTGTGTTGTTGTCAATTTGCTCTACTTCTTTCAAAATGGTTTTCTACAAATATGATCGCAAGTAACATAAATTAGTCTGCTGTTATGAGTGACAGTATACAGTGCACAACTGGACCCAGTTATCTATTCATTACCTTGTGCAAGCCAATTGCGTATGATATAGTGATTTTTGCTCATTATGTGATACTACTAAACAACTTTTGGGAATAAACAGGTTTATATTGTATCACAACTTTAATATAAAATAATTTGATTTACTCTAGTTGATGAATGCTTGAGTAATAACGGTGGATGTAAACAGCTATGTGAGAATTATCCTGGAGGATTTAGATGCTCCTGCTACGATGGATATTCACTATCACAACTTACAGATTGTGTTCGTAAGTATTATTATAACAATTGGAGGCGTTTGGACCATTAATGACATTAAGTACAAATACCTTATTGTTTACATTATTAATGAACACGTTAACTGTAAATATCTTGTAATTGAAGCAAATAGTATACAGCTTCGAATAAATGCCCCTAAGCGTTTATTGTTGAGAAGGGTTCTGAGTTAAAATGGATACGTATACTATATACTCCAATAAACTCCCCTTAATTCTATTGTAAATGTGGAAGTACACATAATTACTTTCAAAATATATTATTGTGTAATCATAAATTCTTATTTGTCCCAACCAAATAAAAAAAATGTAATTCTACGAGGTAAAATATTTAGTAGAATGTGTTCAGGATGTAGCTGCTTCCGTTAGTTTTGTTTACTGTCATTTAGGGGGTGTTTATTCGAGGAATAAATAAACGCCTCGGGCGTTTATTCGAAGGAGGCGTTTAATTCAAATAAGGCTGTGGAGGTGGTGTTTATTTGAGAGGACGTTTATTCCAAGCGTGGTGTTATTCGAATAAATACGGTATCTACATTCATTTTGTTTTTGTTTTGTGTTTTGGGTTTTTTTTTAAATTTAATATATTCAAACAAAACAATGTATAAACCACGCAGCGGTGACAAAAAGAAAAAGAAAAACACATAATATATAAATGTAAACATCTTGATAATAAAAAGATGTACCACACATTTTTGTTGAGGAAGCGTATAACATTTTGCTTAATAATACCTAGGGCCAAAAACCCGATATCAAAAATCCCGCTCTATGAACTTAACTATTTTAGTAGTTTCCACTTATCTTGATTTGTAGATTAAGAAAATAAATAAATAAATAAACATTTACTAAAATGATAAGATTATTAACAGACTTTTTAGTCCCTTCTCTCTTGATATATTTAAAAACTTTAATTTTAATATTACTGGAGCGTGATCAGATTTATATTTAGTTTGTATTTTACATTCGTGTGCAAATGTCATCAATTCTTTAGATATTAGAAAGAAATCTAAATTGTTAACGCTCCATGTATAGTTTCTTTGAAAGTGCTAAAAGAATCACATACATTTAATTGCTTCTATTTTTTCATTTCTAAAACAAAACCCTTTCTTTTGGGTCGTTTATATTATAGTATAATTGTAATAATCTTTTTTTTATATCGTGTGCTAAATTCCAATCACCGCACCAAATATAAATGATGAGGAGCTTCAAATTGTTCTACTCTGTCTCTAAGTGGTGCTTTGAAAAAAGTTGGACAGTCGGAGCAGGGCCGTAAATATTTATTAGACTTAATATAATATCCTAATATTTAAATATTTATTATTATCTAATTACCGTTTGGATCAGACTGTTGAGATTTAATTTTGTATTCTATATTATTATTAAATAGGACGTGAATTACTAGATCCAAATCTTAAAAAGCATTCAAAACCCCATTGGTTCATAATTGTATCTTTTTGCTCTTCAGTTCAATGTGTATCTTGTAAACAATATATATATAAATTTATTGTCCGAAGTTGATCAAACATGTCGTTTCTTTTCTCTCTACTACCAAGACCCCGACATGTTAATGCTGTAATTTGTACTTCACACATCATTTATCAATTACATTACAATATCTTACATACATAATATGTATACATATACCGATAGGCCTATATCTATAGACATGCACGCATACAAACGTATATATCAACATAGTGTACATACAGGGGTATAGTAGAGGTCCATTACCATTACTTTCTCAATTGCTTCAATTTTAAAGGATACTATGGTATTAATAAACAAATATTGATTGTACACATTGAACTAAATGCATTGGTTGTATAATGTTTTGTAGTAATAAAACAGCACGTTGTAACTTATAATAGTTAGCCTATTTGTTATTAACAATATAATAAAACAGCATGTGATTGATTAATTCGACCGATACATACATAAGTTACAAACATGTGGTGTATGTTTGGTTACACAATTTGTATGTTATAGTTATAACAAATTTGCTACAATGATATACAGCAAAACAATTTACTTAAACTACTATGTCACAGTTGTATGTCGCCTGAAGGCAAATGGAATACACTTTTTTCTAAAGAACACATTTTAGAAAAACACTGAAGCCTAAATTGCTTAAAAATTAAAAACAAATTAAAAATAAATTGAGGTTGAGGAAAAATGTCAAATTATTTTTATTACAAAAAAAAAATAAAAAAACAAAAAACAAAAACAGAAAACCAACAAATCTTATCTGTACCATATTTGCAGTAGGCGTGACTATGTCCCTCTATAATACAATGCAGTAATTGAAGAATAACATAATACAATTTTCAGCCTGAAATCGGCAAAAAATAAGAACACTGAGCCTGGGCAAAATTTTACTGGTCCTTAAAAAAAATGTATGCTAATGAATGTATGCCCTGATCATAACTTTGCAGTGTAGATCATTTTCATATTTTCCAACGTGATGAATTGTTAACACTGTTATCTGGGTTAAAATTTAGGAGGGGGTCAAGCTGTTCCTAACCCCCTCCCCAGGGGTCCTCCCCGAGAAACTTTTGATTCCTAGATGACGGGAAATGAGCTTTCCCGGCTTCTGAAGTGTTCTTCCATGACTTTATTTTCTTCAAAATTCAAGGTTTTCTCCTCTGTTGAAAAAGGTCAGGTAAATTTTTCTCATTTTTATTACAATAAATAGGCCTATTAATAAAATTGAGTAGTTGCATACGTATTCTTTTTTCCATGAACCGATAAACCCCCCCCCCCCCCCCAAAAAAAGGGGTCGGTGGTCCTCTCCAGGAAAATTTTGATTCCCAGATGGCGGGAAATTAGCTTTCCCGACTTTTAATTTTCCCATTGTAACAAACAAATATTAGCTCACAGGTCCTGAAAACGTACTATAGGTCTCGAATTTTTTTGTCCAAGTGGGGGGGGGTGGTCAGGCCCCCCTGACTAATGTCGTAGCCAGCTACTGGGACAGTTGGGAGAGTCCCACACAATGTTCTAATGGGTCAACAAAGAATGGGATAGGAATCTTTAAGATTGTATGAGTTTTCAAACTAAAAGCTAGATTGAATACTTATTAGACATAGTATAGTATTAAAGTGACTACGTGCCCCTCATTCATTCTATAGCTGTCTGCCAACCACATTGTCAAAATAATGGACACTGCGTTGGACCAAATACATGTGCCTGCCCGGACACTTACACTGGAGAAAGATGCGAAGAAGGTAAACTGCTGCTGGTTGTAACACATACTGTATAATATTACTATTATTTTTCATTGTTATTATTATTTATTATAATTATTATTATTATTATTATTAGCAGCAGCAGCAGCAACAGCAGCCGCGGCGGCGGCGGCAGCGGCAGCAGCAGCAGCAGTAGATTCATCACTATTATTATGTATTATTTTATTCGACTTTGGCTTGTTGAACTCCGGTGGGACCAATAAAGCAAACAAGACCAGAGAATTAAATAGTGGGAACTATTCGGCCGTTTATTAACGACAATTGTAACACATTAACCCACAAATGGTCCCAAAATGGGGGCAATAAAAAGTGCCACCATCTCTCAAACATAACAGAATTTGGATGAGGAGTAACGACCGGGGTAGTGGTGAGAGTGTTTTAAAATGCAAACAATTAACACGAATCTTTCGATCGTGTTGGAGCCATATTCAATCAAATATGGATTCCAAGCGTCGAGACCTCATGGCATATCGTACTTTTTTACCCTAACCTGACCTATATTACTCCAACTTTAAAAGTAGATCCCGTGTCTGTGCTCGTTTAATATTAATTAAAATTACATTTTAATGCTTTATTATATTCGACTTCGGCTTGTTGAACTCGGTTGGGACCAATAAAGCAAACCAGACCAGAGAATGAAGTAGTGGGTGTAATTCATCTTTTAGATTTTGACGAATGCACTGGGAACAATGGTAATTGTGACCAGATATGTGAGAATTTACCAGGCAGTTTCAGATGCTCCTGTCAAGACGGATTCCTCGGAACAAGCAACTGCTCTGGTACGTTAAGTTTCAAACTTCCTTCTAATAATTAACCTACATTTTAAAACTAGTTAAACACTGTAACATGTTTTTACTTGTAGATATCAATGAATGTGATTTTGCCAACTGTGATACATGCGTTAACACAATCGGAAGTTTCATTTGCACCTGCGATTCGGGATACGAGGTTGTAGATTCTTACCACTGTGAAGGTACTTTTATACACTGGAGTTATAATGTAAGATTAGGCCTATAACCGCACTTGTAACAAATTAGATGATCTACGTATGTGATATATAAAAATTAAATGTGTTTTATGCAAATATTCAGTACACTCTTTTATATGTGTTTGCATTATGTAGATATAAATGAATGTGTAACTGAATCGTCAGAATGCACTCAAGAGTGCACCAATACTGCTGGTAGCTACTTGTGCAGCTGTTCGCGTGGCTGGACTCTGAATTATGACCAAAAGTCATGCTCAGGTATTTTCTTTTTAAAATATACACACTCAAATCCATTCACCCACAGCCAAGAATCAAATTTCTCCATACGGAAT